GGGTTCATGCGGAATTATGAGCATGAACGACTCAACTTAAGGAGTCAAAGATACTTCTCTTCTCAAGACTGCTCAACTTATAGGATTCATGCGGAATTATGGGCATAAACAATTCAACTCAAAGAATTTATGGTAACATGTAATAGTCCAATGCTTAGAAATATAATCTCAAAGGGGATTAGGAACTCAATATTCAAGACTTAGAACTTGAAGATACTACTCCTCTCAAAAATACTCAACTTCTGGAGTTCATGCGGAATTTATGGGCATGAACGACTTGACTCGTAGGTCTACATAACATTATGAAACTCATGTATGTGACTCTTCTCATTCTCTGACTTACTTCCTCAAAACTTAGTTCAAATCGATAGTTGATCTCAAAGGATTCACAATTGAACTCAAAGGCTTCCTTGGACTCTACTCTTAACTCTCTCTTGAATTTGAATTATGAATTCAAGAGTTATGATTCATGATATGAAGGATCTCAATAAAAATATAGCTATTCGATAATTAGGAATATAAATTTTACAAGAAACGTGAATTCAAGAACTCAAAATCAACTTATCTCAAGAATACTCAAATCTAGGGAAAGTATCCTAGATTACTCTTTTACTGATCTGAAAGTAGATGTAGGGCGTGAGAACGAACTAGTCAAACACTATGATAGCCTTACATACCTAGAAGAATAAGATTCTAAAAGAATCTTGCAGAATCTTTAAGAATCTTGAAGAATCTTGAAGAAGAACTTGACTAGAAACCTTGAAACCCTAGCTTGAAGGTAAACAATGAAGAAAACCTTTGTTGAGATTCTTGAATTAGTTTCTTGAAATCTCTGTGGCCAAGAATTATGATTTTCATTAGTGAAGATGAAAATCTGATTGTTTTGAGCCTTTTATTAGTCAAAAAATTCGTTTATGGTTTTCTTGGAGTTAAAAAGACAAAAACAACTCTTTTTAATATTTTCCCGTTGGCTAATTCGTAACGGCACTGTATAGGTTACTAAAATAGTCATAACATTTTACTCAGAAATTGGATTGACGCGAAATTGGTGGTGTTGGAACGTAAATTCAAATACCTTTAATTGGATAGGTTATGGCTCATGTAACTCTTTATATTCTAAGAGACATGGTCGTTTGAAGTTGACCCAAGTAGAATCTTACATCAAAACTTAATGAAACTTCAAGAACACTTATGAAGAGCTCATCAAGAACTCTACTCTTTAAATTTCAAGAACGAAATTACGCTGAATAAATCATGATTGGTGTGTGGGTGAAAGAACCCAACACTATGGAAGCTTACATACCTCTTAGGGATTAACCCATGGCGAAAATCCGTTACAACATGCAAGAATCTCGACGAACGCTTGATCCTCTCCTCTTTTCTCCTCTTTTCTCTTCTTGAACTCTCAACTAAAACCCTAGGCGTATATTAGGATTATAAAACTGAACCTAATCAGATTAGACCTCTAAAATATTACTAAAAACGAATCAAATCTGATTGGGTAAGGAAAAGACCAAAATACCCCTTACTATTTCCGGCTAACTTCCTTAACTGGGTCAGCCTAACTTCAAAAGGTCATATCTCACTCATCCAAACTCAAAACTTAGCAAACTCGGCGGCGTTGGAAATATAATTCAAATATCTTCCCTACGGTATATGGTATTACACCTAAATCATCCTGAGCTATGAGTTATGGTCGTTTAAAGTCGACCCAAAACTCATACTTAGCTTAACTTGCAAAATTTCAGATTTTGCCATTTCCAATTTAATTCTTTTTGGAACTCAAGGTGCTACATCTAATGACCTTAACACTTAAGAAATTTTTAATTCATTGCAAAAATCTCACTAACTACGAAGAAAGGTTCGAGTCTTAGCTCAATTTTTTTTTGGGGTGTTACAAACCCCTTACCTAAGAGGTCCTATAATTGAACATTGAGCTCCCTGAGCTCTGCAGGAGCCATCCGGTAAGGCGAAATTGAAATAGGAAAGGTGTCGGGCTCCAAATCTATGGCAAAATCAATGTCACGCTCTGGGGGTAAGCCAGGTAGGTCTGTAGGGAACACATCTGCAAACTCTCTAACTACAGGAACTGAGTCAACTGAAGGGCCCTCCCTACTCATATCTCGCACATAGGCCAAATAAGCTAAACACCCAGAAGCAACCAACCGTCTAGACCGCATAAAAGAGATGATCCCCGTCGGTGTGTGACTATAAGCACCCTGCCACAACACTGGGGGAATGCCAGACATGGATAAAGTAACGGTCTTGGCGTGGCAATTCAAGACCGCATGGTAGGGGGATAACCAGTCCTTGCCCAGAATCACATCAAAATCAACCATATCTAGCAGAATAAGATCAACTCTAGTATCATAACCCTGGATAGTCATTAAGCAAGATCGCAATACCTGATCCAGTACTAAGGACTCACCCACCGGGGTCGAAACATGAATTAGCTCTGCCAAAGACTCAGACCTCATACCCAATCGGGGAACAAAATAAATAGATACATACGAGAATGTGGACCCGAGATCAAATATTACAGTAGCAGGCTGATGGCATAATAAAAGCATACCTGCAATGACATCGTCAGATGCCTCAGCTGCCGTCCTTGCGAGGCTGCATAAAAATGGCCCTAAGCACCTCTGCCCGATGCATATGATTTACTACCTAACCTGCCTCCCTGAGCTCCACCTCTGGTACCCTGTTGGATGTCCCGACGATCCTGGTCTTGACCACTACCTCTAGCTAGAGGGGGCACTGCTGAAACTGGTCTAGGTTCAAGGGGAGCTGGTACAATCGCCCCTCGCCCTAGCCGGGGGCACTCTCTGGACCAATGGGCAAGCACACTGTAATCAAAACACCTCGAAGCTGAATGCCCTGAAGTAACCCGACCGCGGTAGGAAGGGAGGGAATCTGATCCCCTCGAACTCTGGCCCGTACTAGGACCACCATGCTGATGCTGGCCTTCCTCAGAAGCAGGTAATGCTGCCTGAACAAGCCGACTGGACTGATCTTGCTGAAACCTCTGGCGGGGCCTATCATAGGAGTCTCTCCCTCTAGTTTGGGACCCATTGTAGCTGCCCTGGTATCGTGCCCTCTTATCGCTGCCCCCTTAGGCCTCGCGATGAATATGCTCCATGGATCGGGCATGATCGACCACATCAAGAAATGAACGGCCGGCTGAAACCAAATGCTCTGTGTCGACCCTCAGACTGTACCGCAACCCACGTACAAAACAACGAACTCTCTCCTCCTCCGTGGGCAGGATCATGGTAGCATGTCGAGACAACTCATGGAACCTCATCTCGTATTCTGAGACGGTCATAAGGCCCTGCTCCAATCTGGAGAACTGATCACGAAGCCTATCCCTGATGCTCCGTGGCATGAACCGGACCAAGAAAGCCTCTAAGGACTCACTCCAAGATATAGGAGGCGATCCAACTAGCCTGGACTCTCGATACGTGCGCCACCACTGCCTAGCTGGCCCACGGAACTGATGAGCGATAAAGTCGGCTCCTCTCGACTCCAAGAGGCCTAATGACTGTAGATGCTCCTGGCAAATGAGCTGGAACTCGTGGGTGTCCTCCCCAATCGCCCTTGAGAATATCGGTGGTGCTAACCTCTGGAATACCCTGAGCATCTTCTACTCGCGCAGTGGCATCTCCTTGTCCTTTAAGTCATGCAGGGCGGCCACATGAATTGGTGGCCGCTGGACCTCTGGTAGCGCTGCGGCAGGCTGACCCTGCGGCGCTGGAGCTGGTGCTGGAACTGGTGCTGGTGCCTGACGCATCTCCCCAATAGCTGCTAATATCTGAGTCAGCAAGGCATGAAGATCAGGAGATGCAGCTGGTGCGGGTAGTGGCTGGGCTGATCCCGGCCCCACTGGCTGTGGAGGTACATATGCTGCCTAGGACTCTTCCTCCCTATCTCAGGCCTGTGCTGCGGCCCTGCCTCGATATCGGGGTCGGCATCTACCCCAAGTTGGGGCTCTGTCTGCAGGCTCGGGTGCATCACCCCCGGCCGCACCGCCTAGCGTGCGAGCCATCCTGCGAAAGAGTTAAACAAGTGAGATTTCCAGGAACCAATAAGACACACGTTGCACGAAAGTGAAACAAAAGAGGAAATCTTCCTAAAGACAACCTGTAGCCTCCTGAAGATAAGTTACGGACGTCTCCACACCAATCCGCAAGACTCTACTAGACGTTAGCTCTGTACAAGTGAGATTGGTGAACCTGAGGCTCTGATACCAATTTGTCACGACCCGATTCCTCGAGTCATGATAGCACCTACTATAACCCACCAGTAGGTAAGCCAACCCGTAACCCGGAACAACAAGTAATGGGCCTGAGGGTAGAAACTAAACAAGAGTAGGAAAAATTTAAGATAACAACATAAACAGGCAGAAGCAAACCAAAACATATATACAAATAAAGATCCCTCCCAGAACCTAGAAGTCACTAGTACAGAGCTACTAACAAAACGAGTACAAGTCCCAAAAGTGGACCACAGAGACTGAACTGTCCCGAAAGGTAAAAGACAAGTCTATATATACAGATGGAGACGAAAATAGTACAAAACGCCGTGTGCTCACCCAGTCTCCGGATCAGACTGCTCCAAGCTCGATCAACGCTGGCTACTAGTGCCCGGACCTGCATCACGAAATAGATGCAGAGCGTAGCATGAGTACCAAAACAACAGGTACCCAGTAGGCATCATAGGCCGACTGAACTTGAAAAGTAAAGGCAATATGAAAAGAAGGAATAACACAAACCGAAGTCAAGAACTAAAATCTAACTAACAAAGGAATGCACACGAGTGTACAAAGAACTAACTAAAGTAATCTATAAGCTAACTACACCTAACTGGGCCCCCATAAGCCCAGAAGGTACACTCATGCGCAAGTTAAATAAAAACCCAAACGGACCCCCATAAGCAACGGACCCCTATAAGCCCGACGAGTACACAGAATAACTATAACTAAAGAGAATTGCATATAAGAACCCAAGAACGAAGAACATCGAACCAAAACCTCAACCCAATTAGTAGAATCTGACAGTACGGAGGCCGGACCTCGAACCGGATGCTCACCAGAAGTACCCAAGTAACCAATCACAAGTATCAAGTATCTGAGGCCGGAACTCTAACCGGATTCTCTGTATAGGTATCTGGGCAATAGAGGCCGGAACTCTAACCAGATGCTCTATATAAGTATTTGGGTAATAGAGGCCGGAACTCTAACCGGATGCTCTAAATAAGTATCTGGTCAATAGAGGCCGGACCTTAAACCGGATCCTCCATAAATGTGCCAATGTAGCTGCTGAAAGAGTTCTAATAGATCCACGTTCAAAAATATCCGTGGAACGCCGTTCATACTTAGCCAATCAATGTAAGTCCTTGGAACCGAATCAAAAATCAAATTCAAATCGCGAAGCAGAATTAGTGTCGCCGACGTAACTCATGAAGCCGTAACATCGGGGAAAAAAAAGGATAACTATAGTCGGAGCAAGCGTACGCCTAGCTAAGGCCCAAACTATCAGACTCAAGTCTACTACACCAGTCTACGGGGATCTAAGTCGGCCGAGCGACGTCGGGGAAAAACTAAGGCTTATCGGATCCGAATCATGTATTTCTAAGGCAAGCCCTAGTCAAACCTAAACTAAGGCCCAACATGCTTCAAATAAACAATAATCAAGCATACAAGCACTCCACATAGCAAGGAGGGTCAATTAATAACACAAAACATGCTCATAGTTACCCAATAATTTTCGAAAGAGGCCGAAACATGATTTCTAAACACCTATGCATAATTCAATCACTACCAACCCCTAAACTAAGGCCCAACATGCTTCAAATAAACAATAATCAAGCATACAAGCACTCCACATAGCAAGGAGGGTCAATTAATAACACAAAACATGCTCATAGTTACCCAATAATTTTCGAAAGAGGCCGAAACATGATTTCTAAACACCTATGCATAATTCAATCACTACCAACCCAAATCCCAAATAATCAACATGCATTCACACTCTCAAGTTCAATCTAAGAGAGGGAAACCATAGCCTACCTGTAGGCCGATCACACGCGCTCCAAAATCATTTCTCCGGAGCTTTCCCTATCCGAACGGCCTCGAAACGCTGCCCCGCTAACAAAAATAGAGTCACAACGTATTACGGTCGTTTACACACCAAAATCACAACAAATAGAGACAGGTCAATTTTGGAGTCAAAATGGGAATCGTGGGACACGCACCGAACTGTCTGAATTTGACTCCGTCAAGACACCCTACACAGTACCCCAAACTTGTGTTCCAAAATGGAACACAATTCGGGGATCAAAACGCAGCAAAAACCAACAAGCAAGAAAATCACACTTTAATCAACAAAAAAAAAAAAACAGCAGTCTAAACTTGAAATTTACAAGAATCTAATGGTGCCCAGCACTCCTTGAACACTCTACGACGAAGCTACGACAATTCTCAACATGTGGGACTTCGAATCACCCAAAATCGAGCTAAAATGAGTGAGATATGACCAAAACAGGAATGCCAAAAACAAAAGCTCGAAAAAGGGTACTGCAGTCAGGTTATCGCGAAATTTACCTCGAACTACTCTCACCCGACAACTTTCGAACACTCTACAGCGAAGCCACCAAAAATACGAAGCTCCCGCACTTTGAATCGCCTAATTCAGATGAAAGATGAGAGAGTTATGAGGGTTTGAAGTTTGGAAACAATGTTGCTGATTTTCTGCATTTATAGCAGATTTTCTGCAATAATTTCCAAAACTAAAAAAAAACTCCGACAGGGTGCCCCGATCTCGTTCGGAACCCCGTGCACGCAAACGAAATATGCAACCATACCAAATTCGATATTTCGGACTCAATGGCACAATCAAAATTTTCATACGAGGTCATCTTGACAAAAAGTGGGTCCAAACCCAAATGTCATTTTAAGTCAAAAACCACAAAAGAGCTCAGAAAAAATATCAAAAACCTCGAGACACAAAAGAAAGGTCAAACTAGACCAAACTTGACATTCCGGAGCAAACCGCACTGACGAAATTCTCATCCGAGCGCGTTTACTCAGAATGTTAACCAAAGTCAAACTTAGGCTTAAACTTAAAGTTAAAATGCCTAATCGCACCGACACACACTGAAAATCTCGGGAGTCATGTCGACCATGCTACTAGCCTAAAATGACCCTTCCGGAGCTGATGGAATCGTCAAAATTGGATACCGATGTCATCTTCTTGAACTTTTAATCGAAAATGATCGTTCAAGGTTCATAACCTCCAAAACACAAAAACTCGCACCAAAACCAAACGAACGACCAGGTGACCGAACTGTCAGTCCCAGCAAGTCATAAATGACTTGGGGTCGCTACAGGAACACTCTAAACCATACACAGAAGTCAAGACACAGAAATGACTAGGAGGGTCATTACAATGTATTTCTTCAGAAATATATTTGAGTTCTTTTTACAAGCCTATCGAAAAATCCATATTTTCGTCAATCTTGTATGTGATCTCATAACAATGTGCATCTAGAAACTTCATCCTAAAATTATTTAAGCCTAATCACCAAAATTCAAGCTAACGTATCTGTAGGTTTTTTCAAAAATTATTCTTATCCTTAAAGATATGATTTTTTTTAAAATTTGGTATATACCAATTCATAAGTTCATAATCACATTTTTACTATAAATGCCCAGTTATATGCGATCTCCAAACAATGTACATTTTGATAACTTTATCCTAAAATTAATTACTTGTCATTACCAAAATTCCAGTTGACTATATGTATACATTTTTCAAAAGTCATTGATCTTATCCTAAAAGATATCAGTATTTCAGAATATGGTATGCCAATTAATAAGTCCACAAATACATTTTACTATAAATACTCAGTGCAATCTCTTTCATAACTCCCACCAAGAAAAATCTATTATTTTACATAGTTTATTACATCTCAAGCAAGGTTTCTACTTATTAACTTTATATTTATAAGATTTTTAATGTATGAGTGTATGCATGAGTGGTTTTCATGAGATTATTTACTATTTTAAACTAATTATTGTTATGATTTTATTTTATGTGTAACTCAAATGAATACTTTCATCAACAAGAACAACAAGTTGAACATGAAGAAAGTGGTGTTCATAGTGGGAGCAACAGGAACGGGAAAATCTCGTCTCTCTGTTGACCTTGCCACCCATTTTTCGAGGAGAAATAATCATCTCGGACAAAATGCAAGTCTATAAGGGACTTGATATCGTGACCAACAAGATCACACACGCTGAGAAACAAGGTGTACGACACTATTTGCTAGGTATACATATTCGAAAAAGACAGTTTTATGTGATTAGTTTATTTTAATGTGAATATTAATTGACAGTTATTTTGTTACACAATTGTTTAGGTGAAATTGAGCCAGATTCTGACTTCACGGCAGAAGATTTCAGTCTGATGTCCATTGTCTACATAGAAAATATTTTGAAGACTTAATGTGTTCCAATTATTGTTGGATGGTCAAATTCGTGTGTTGAAAAACTTGTGGAAGACCCTGTATTCATGTTCAAATATAAGTATGACAGTTGCTTTATTTGGATTGATGTAGAGCAATCAGTCTTTAACCGTAGAG